AATATTCATTCACCACAAGCCTCCACTTTCAACCACTATAGCAATGTTTCTCAAAGTTGAGAACTTAAGCACACATCACCCCCCCCCCCCCGTTATGCCTGCAGACCCATAGGGGATGCCAGGCATTGTTTGAGAAACTCATTAAATTCTTTTCTTTCACTTGAGGTGACCAATCAGCACTAACAACACTATAAACACTGATGCCAACCAGATGGCATCAGTTGGCATTCATGGTGAGTTTTATTTTAAAAAATTGTTGGAATGACACAAAAAACCTAAAACATGTCCCCTGCCCTGGACTCTCAGGGACTTATACATGCCATTTTGGGGAGTACTGTAGAAGAGTCTTTCCCCTGACAAGGAAGACCTTCATCTAAGCAAAGAGCAGAAGCTATACCCTGCTTGAAGCAAATAAATGACTGGTTTGCACATCCCTCGATGGTGCAAACGGTTAACAAACTCAGCTGCTGTGAGTTGTGAACCCTTCTGCAGTAAATAATCGGGTCTTTGGTCCTGCTTCCTGCAAGCCTGACTACACTTGAAGCCAATGAATGAGGGCTGGCCAGACCAAGAGGGGCTACTCGGCAGCTCTGATGCTGAATAAGCCTCAGAAGGCCACATTTGTTGTTGTTGTTATTGTTATGTGCCGTCAAGTCGGACCCGACTCATAGCGACCCCTCCTTGGGCAGTGTAACTATGGAAGTAGATTGCCCCATCTTCCTTCCGAGGAGTGGCTGGTGGGTTTGAACCACCAGCCTTCTGATTAGCAGTCAAGTGCCTTAGCCACTATGCTACCAGAGCTCCTAGAAGGCCACATGGTGAGGCCAATAAAAGCCTAGGAAGACAGAGGCTCACTGAAGCTTCCAAGTTGGAGAGAGTGAACATCTGCTCTTGAGAGGGTAAGCCCTGTGCCGACGCTCCCTCCTAGACCTCCCCTTTGTGTTTGTATCCTTTTTCTTTCTAGATTAAAGACAGCCCTTTCCCTGCAGTTTGTGAATTGTTCCATTAGATAACTGAACCTAAGAAACAGAGAAAGGACTGTACCCACTGATCCAGCCAGCCTCTAAATAGGCATGAGAAGGGACCAGTATCCCTTGGCCTAGTCCTGGGTGAATGGGATGAGAAATAAAGGGCTGCCTGGGGCAGCTTGTGTCCGAACTGACCAGGGAGAGTACACTGAGATTCCATAGCCTGTTTGACACTCCTTTACCACTGCTGCTAACTGAGAGTGTGGAGGTTTGTGTCTACCCAGAGGCACATTGGAAGAAAGGCTTAGTGATCTACTTTTGAAAAATCAGTCATTGAAAACACTGTGGAGCACGGATCTACTCTGACACACATGGTGTTGTCAGCATTCAGATGGCAACTGGCATACCCTGCTGGGGCTGAGGCTTACATAGCAGGGTCAGAATAAACAAGGAAAATCCATATGACCACACAACTCTTGAGGTGGGAGGGCCTTGGTGACCCTGTCCTCCAAGGCCCATCTGATTCATGATTCTATCTTCAACATCTTGTTCTGTTGTTAGACAGCTGTTCAAGCTATGCTTTGCTTAAACTAAACCATTGGTTTTGGTCTTGACCCTGGGACCATATTAAATGAAAGACCCAAAGATACTGGGGTAGAGGGCATGTAGGCCTGACTTGAGCTCCTTTCTTTTTTTGTATAAATGGATGCAAGTTCATTGGAGCAGCTGGTGAATTTACTGCTTTGCTTCTGTAAAATGTACAGATGGGGAGAATGGGAGTTTGGAGAAGAGCACAGATGGAGAAGTCTTTTCATTTTCATTTGTCACCGAACAGAGACCTAGAGTGACTGAGGGTGTCAAGACTCACAGATGCAAACACGGGAAGAACATAGATACATGGTGGGTGGCAGCAGGCAAGGAGTGTTTTTACAGGGGTCAGAAACATGAAAAGGACACAGGGACAGGTGGGAATTTCAGCACAAGTGCCTGGTATCACAGAGTGTTGAAAACCCAGTGATATTTCCAGACGACTGATCCATGCTGTTCCTGCCACACCCGAGCTTGAAGAGTGAGTCACATCTTTGTACTTGATTTGCCGAGCCAGATGTTTGTCAAATTTCTGGCAGTGCTCTCTGAAATTTCTGTGAGGCTTGAACAGTTGTGTGACTTTTGTACTGTTGCTTTGTTTGAAATTAGTATCCCATCCTTTTTTTTTTTTGCAAACTGGCAGCCATTGTGATCTGGTGGTATCTAAATGTAGATATTCTGACTTTGCTTTTGTAGGCTCCCTTTATTGAAAAATTTGTAGTGTTCTGAGCACAAATGTACATTTATGGAGTCCTCTGGTAACATAGTGGCTAAGGCACTACTAACCAGAAGGCTGGTGGTTCAAACCCACCAGCCACTCCTCGGAAGGAAGATGGGGCAATCTACTTCTGTAGTGATACTGCCTCAGAAACCCAAGGAGGGGTCGCTATGAGTCGGGTCCGACTTGACAGCATGTAACAACAACAACAACATTGTTTAAAGTATGTGTTGGCCTGCTTGTCACTTTTTTTTTTTCCAGCCAAAACAGTTTCTCAGGGCCACCTCAGGTTGGTGTCCTCAGGACAAACCAATATGACTGTGTAATATGAGTCTTTTTTTGGTCACTAGATTGTTAGGTATTTGAAATCTTGGGGCTTTTCACTACATGAAACTGGATAATCACTTGAGTTTAGATGCCAATGGTATGTTTAAAATGTACACAGGGATTGGTTTTGGCTCTCTATATTTAAAGGATTGGTGGGTTTCTTGTAGTTTACCTCCCCCTCCTACTGGTGATAAGTTCAGTATACACCCAGCCAGCCTTATAATAGAGGACCCATGGCATCAGTAGGGAAGACTAAGGCAATAGATTGTGTTTGGTCTACACTTTACTGCTGCTCTTACTCAGATGTGCTGGTGGTAGGTACTGATCCATTCCTGACCAGAACAGGAAGGATCCAATTTCCTTAGACTGATAGGCTATCAGAAGCCAACTCAGCCCTCCTCGGCTGCCATGGCTATTTATGTGCTGTGTGTGGGAGAGACCTGTAACCCTCTATGACTAGGGATCCCCATTATATCTTGTAGGGACAGATGACAATCTACCCATTCCTTTTGGGTCTGAGTTCTCTGTAAACTCTAAAGTAGAGGTTTTTTTTTTTTTTTTTTTTTTTAAATAAAGAATGAATCTGCTTCTAGAACCATCTCTAGAACTAAAAAGCAGGACTTAATCAGGAGTACAAGGTAGGCATTCAGGACTCTATGTGAAAATCTAGTTACTGGTGGATCACTGACTGCAGCAGGCAGGTAGGAAGGAAGGGGGAGCCTGTTGCCTGCAGTTTCTGCCAGTACCACCCAAATGACCAATGGCCACTCCAGTCCAGATGTGTACAGGGCATCACTTTTCAGTTGTCATGTCTGTGAAGTGCTGTCAAATATGGAGAGCAAGGGCTGACTTTACTTCCATATTCCCCACTGATATCTTCCCTATGAACTAATTTTGGTTCTGGTCACTGAAGAACTTAAATGATTTGCACTGATGTTGACAAGGAAGCCAGTTAAGGCTGAACAGCCTGCCAATATTGGTTTAGCAGGCGTTGTATAACACCCTCCCATAAACCATCTCCGGTGCTCCTGCTGGGGGCAGATCTTGGGTGGGACGAACCATGGGGCTGAACTTTATGGTATTTCCACATTATCATCAGATGTCAAGAGAAGCACAATGGGGAGGAACAAGAGGTGGTGCAGGGGAAGCAAGTCTCAAAATGGCACCTTCCAGATAGTGTTGTAAGGAAATAAGACATATTGTCATGATGCTAACACTGTGAAAGGAAGATATTACAAGGAGCACTGTGAAAGCAAGGCTGTAATCCATTCAAAGATGGTGATCTGGGGTGATACCCATGCCTGTGTGCTAGCTCCCCACAGACCTGTGGGGAAGATCTCACCCCCAGGTGTGCTCCCTCTGAAGTTACTTGTTATGGTCTGAGGTTCTGGGGTATCTCACTCTTCATTGTCTTTTTCCTTTTAATCTCATTACTCTTTACATTGTATCTACTTCCAAGAAATTTAATTTGTGAATCACAACTCCAAGATCTTTTGGTTGAAGGGTAGTTTCCATTTATTAACGAACCAGAGAAAACAGCACAAAATGACCAAGGAAGGCCAAGAAACATGGATAGGGGTTCATTCTGCCTGATTCTTCTGTGCATACTGGAATAAACCCTCCCTCTGCCTCAGGAATGGTACCCCTGAGATGAGGGAAGTCAGTCTTGGAGCAGGGGCCAGTGCTTTTCTGCTTTTGTGTTCTGAGTGGGAAACTCTCCTATACCCCATGGGAAGTTTCCCTCTGCAGGATCACACACCTGCACATCTACGACTTATGAAACAGGGCTCTTGAAGAACATTCTTCCCAGTTTGCCACTTTTTCACACCTTTGGATGATTCATTTTTATTTTGTTTGAAATAGCACATTAAGAGACAGATTGCAAACCCAGCCCATTATATACTATTGTTATTTTCCTCTTGGCTGCTTAATAGACTACATCCAGCTTTATCCCTCTCACACTCAGAAAAGAAATAAGACCTCACATTAATATTTTCAAAAGCATGAACATATATTATCTCATCTGATCCTCAGGACAGCCCTGTGAGGTAGGCAGGGCAGGCATCCTGCTTCCAGGATCCAGAGGACAGGGTCATAACTGACAGGTGTCCTGACTCTTGGTCCAAGGCTCCTTGTACTCCAAAAGATGAGCTGGTCAACTGAGTTTACCATAATGAACAGAGCAGCCTTTCTGCTTAGAATAGATTAAGTCCTTTGAGCTTGCAAATAAAGGGGATTTTAAGTATAGACCTCATCAGGAAGCTCAGGAGATAAACATACCTGAGCACATTTCAGCTTCAGAGGGATGACTAGGACAGAAATTGACAACTTCCACAAGAGTTTCCTCTTATTTTCTTGATTCTCACCTGAACCACAAGTGTTGTAACTTTAAAGCAGCAAAGTTCAGAAGGAGGGAAAGCATTCAAAGGACTTTCTCATCTATCAATGTATTGATTCCCTCACAAATCCTCTTGAGGTTGGGCCTACAGTCTCCATCCAGACTATAGAGGGTGGAGAGGAACTCCACATCGGCAAAGTGGTTGAAGACATGGTTGATGCGCCCGTGGGTCCTGGGCGTCAGGTGTCGCTGCACCAGTTCATGCACCAAGTCCTTGCATTCGTGCAGAAGCTTGGAGAGCACATTCCTATCAAATGTATATTCCACCTCGTAGAAACTGACAATGGTCATGGCGGTCTGGTTCAACTTCTTCCTGAACTTCTCTACGATAACAATCTCCTCCTGATTAAACTGGTTGTTTCGGTAGAGGATCCCAATTTTGATCGCCACTTTGATTAAGTCTTTCATGATCTTGTGGGCTTCCTTCTTGTTGTGAGTGTGCTCTTTGGTGACTTTGTAGAGCTCATCAAAGATCTCGCTGCTGGTGTCATCAATCAACATGTTGGCCACAGTTTTGCTGGCTATTTTGCTCAGAATCTTCTTCTGGGCTTGGAGAGCAAGATTCTTTGAACTAAAAACATCGGGACCTATGGTAAGGAAAGAAAGAAAAGTTACAGAAATATGAGAACCATTTATTATGCTTCAGCAAATGAAACACTAACTTGAACTTAATGTTCATAGAGCAAAAACTTATGGTTTTCTGCCTTATAACTCCCTAACCAAACTCCACCCCAGTGTCCTATCCACATGCCACTCCTATTTACACTTCTGGACCTTCTAAACTGTGTGCGTGCTCTTCTCTTTTCTGAAGTAGTAGTCATTTCATCTTGTCCAGGCCAAATCTCCCCTGACCCACTTCATGCATAAAGTCTTCCTAACTCTATCAGCACACAGAGAAATGCCTACAGTTGCTATTGCAGTGGAAATAATTCAGTTTTTCAGATTATGCAGAAGCAAGTTATTGCTTAAAGGTAAGAATGAAGCACTATTGCCAACCCCCATTCCCTTAGCAGACATGCATATTGATCATGGCGGGTTTTTTTGACTGAGTTGTAGAATTCATGTATCCTGAGATGTATGCTTTCACTTTTGACATCTTGGAAACTGGAGTGTCTTACAATCATTGTTGCCAGGTAGCAGGAGTGCTGCAGTTGCTGTAACCTGTGTGCACATCAATGTAGAGAACAGGTGTCAGCGATATGGGAGAAAGCCAGGAAAAAGTTGTGGAGCACTCTCGTAAGAAATGTTGCCTCACCAGTGCTCTTGATGGCACTGGCATTATGTGGAAAACACAGACACCAATAACGCTAAGTCAAAACTGCTTCAGAAGAGTTGGACTCTGAATGTAAAAGCCCTTGGAAAACTGTAGCCAATTTATTTTGCTGGTATTTTCCTCTTTATGAATGAACGAAAGCAATGTTGTTGTTGCTGTTATATGCCATCAAATCAGACACAACTCATAGTGACCTTTCCTTGGGTTTCTAAGGTGGTATCACTACGGAAAGTTGTGTCCAACTTTCCTTCCAAGGAGTGGCTGGTGGGTCTGAACTGCCAGCCTTCTAGTTAGCAGTCAAGTGCCTTAGGCACTACGCCACCAGAGCTCCCAATGAAAGCAATATGTTAAAAAACAAAAACAAAGACAAAACCCTGTCTATATATGTCTAAAACAGCTCTTTCAATAAGTATAAAATAAAATTATAAGTAATAAGAAAGCATAATAATTTAATTGGCAATACATTTTTTCTTTCTTAACCAGTAGCTGTTCAGTCTATTCCAACTCGTGGTGCCTCCATGTGTGTCAGAGTAGAGGTGGGATCTAGAGGTTTTTCAATGACTGATTTTTCAGAAGTACATCTCCAGGCCTTGCTTCTAAAATGACTCTGGGTGGACTCGAACTGGCAACCTTTTGGTTAGAAGCCAAGTGCATTAACTCTCTGAACCATCCAGGACCTCCTTTTTCCTTCCTTTTTTTTTTTTTTTTTAAAAAAAAAGAAACAATAAATATTTATTTATTTATTTAAATACATTTTATTGAGATATAATTTATGGATAGTGAAATACACAAAACTAAAGTGACATTGGTCAATGCATTTTTTTCCCCCAGTGTTTCCTCTCCTCCCTTGCCTTCTTAAGAACGTATAAAATATGCCAGTTTACAACCAATGGCATCTTATATTTGATTAAATACTCCATGGAGTCACCAATTGGCTGGAGTTGGCTTTTGAATTGAAATCCACTAGCCATCCTAGACTTTGTATGCTTATTATTATTATTATTATTATTATGCTTATATATTATATTTCCAAAGAAATTCAAGTGGCCTCAGAATAGGCACAATGTCTCTCACAGCACCTCGCTCAGTTCTGGGCATAAGGATGGAGTAGTAGCTGTGAGTAAAATGCCAGAGATATACTTCAGTACAATTATAAAGCTGTAAAATGCAGTGCACATGAAATTTATACTAAGAAAATCCAACTTTCCTTTGAGAATTGAGTGTCCTCTAGGATCTCACAGAACCCTGGGCTTGATTACAGCCCCAGTCAGTGCTCTATGGTCACACAGAAGAGAGAGATGTGATGGGCAGTAGCATGGACAGACAGATGGCCAGACACGTCAGCTTCTGGTGTCCTGGTCTGGCCCCTCCCCAAATCGTATCCCACCCAGAACCCATTCCTCAATGGACAGTGATTAATCACTGGATACTTGGGCCTCACAGACATAGACTCAATAAACACTCAAACAATTTAAACATAAGGCCTGGCATTCCTTCCACTTGCCTGTCCCCTCACAGACAGCTACTTCAGCTATAGGTCTTCCCAAATCAGCAACTTCTGCTCTAGGGCCTCTTCTGGCCACTGGTCCCTAAGGGGCATTGTCTGGAGTGGAGTGGCTGCAGTGAGATCAGCACAGCTGAAGTACTGGGTGCTCGAGGAAGCACGCTCCCCAATGTTAGAGACCACAGATTCTAAGCAACTACAAGGAGCTCTGGTAGCATAGTGGCTAAAGCACTTGACTGCTAACCAGAAGGCTGGCGGTTCAAACCCACCAGCCACTCCTCGGAAGGAAGGTTGGGCAATCTACTTCCGTAGTGATACTGCCTCGGAAACCCAAGGAGGGGTCGCTATGAGT